TTAGTATTTGCTAGCTGTATGACTTTGGGCATATTACTCAACCTCTCTGAGCTCAGTTTCTGAATGTGAAAAAACAATCTTCTATTGTATGAGATTAAACAAAATAATATATTAAAATGGATAGCATTTAGCATTTTCTGGGTTAAAAGTACATTTCAGTGAGTGAGTGAGTGAATGAATGAATGTAGCGAGCAGAATAAGAGTTTCAATATTAAAACATCACTCGACAGTTTGAGACATAAGTGTCCAGAGTCACACTGGTAAATGAGTCTGACACTCAGAATAGAACAACTGGTGAACTCTGGGAAAAGTCCAATAGCAACAGGAAATGTATGTTACCCAAATGTCATCTCAGACTTGCCAAGCTGAAAACAACTTTTGCTTAGCCTAGAACCTATGTATGGCCTCCAGAAGGTCTACAAACCTCCTGACATTGTAGACAACGTTCCATGCAGACGTGCACTTTCTAACTACTTCATAGATTGATCTGAGTTTCCAAACATTCCATAATCCTCTCCTTTACCCCCAACACACACACATACACACACACACACAAATTACGAACTACTGCCTTAGGCAAGTCCCTTGACAGAAAGGGATCTATCAACTGAGAGAGAAAAAAGTTTATTTAATAAAACAAGGCTGAGCTATACAAACATGCTATTTAGAAAGTACAGATAGTAGAAGTTATCCACAATGAGTACTCCAAACCAGAGAAAGGGCTCTGAATTCAAGACTTGGCTTCGCTGCATACTTGCTGTAGGACCTTGGGCAAATCAGAGACCCATGAAAATCAGGGTCAATGGAACCTCTGACATCATCTCCTCTACCCCCCTCCTCCTCTTCCCATGTCATAGACGGAGAAACTGGGGTTCAGAAAGGGTCATGCCTTCACCAAAGTCATAGCAAATTATACAAAGCCAAGATTTGAACCTCAGACTCAGTAAAATGATTTCCACAGTTTGTACCTCAGTATCATGACGTCCAAGATAAGGGTTTAAACTCAGTGGCCTTTAAGTTATCTTCTAACTGATACATAATTACTACTCTCTTTCCTGGACCTGGAAATCTCATGAAAACATGAGTTTGGTTTTGGCAAAGATTATTCCAGCTGCTTCTCAATCCCAGCCAGTCCCACAAGAATGAGGAAAGAAGTCTGAAAGAGCAAGAGACGCTGCTATTAATCTTGTGTAGCACAGCGACTGGAAACTGCAGGCCTTGAACTACATTTCACTGTGTTGGCTATTACTCTCCTGTCTTCTTGCTTATTAATCCTTCATCTGTCTTCTCTTTATTAATGTTCCCAACTATGAGCAGTACACAGGCAGCTAGGAACTCATCCTTAGTTTCCTATAATTCACTGGATAAGAAAAGGGCAGGAGGCAGGTGGAGGAAACAGTGGTGATGTCAGGGTCAAGTAATCTCTTACAGGAAGGACTGCAGGGGAATCCACAGTCTACTAATAAGCACAGATAGCAGAAGCCAGCCAGAATTCTCTATTCCACTGCCCCATGGAATTAACGAAGAAGGCTGGCATCCATGTATGTCTTAAGGGCATGTCACAACTGCATTGACAGTGAGATTGATTTTGCCTGAAAGACAATGGTCCTTTAACTATTGGGAAAAGAAACAATAGTTTATAGAAAGAAATTTCTCTCCTAAAACAGAGATACAACTATGGAGTCAGAAGAAATTATTCTAGACCAGGATATGCCACTAATACCATAGACAAAGCAAATTCCTTCCCTGATCCCAAAATCTCCATCTCTGAAATGAAAGAATTTGGTTAGATTGGTTCTTAAAGTCCCCTCTGACTTTAAGATTCTGACCTCTCCTTACAGATCAATGACTCATCCTCAAAAGGTCAAACAACAGAACAGGAACCCATCAATGTTGCCAGTGGATAAGTTGACCAGATCCCCTAAAAATGAGACCCAGATGACGGAGTAGAGAAACATGGGGGAAGGTGGATTTTTTTTTCCTTTCTAATCAGAAACTGAGTGTTGCTGGAGGGAGGAGATGACCAATGCCTAAATGGGCCAACTACTGTATATATACAATTCAAATTCCAACTGCTCTTCTGGTATGTGAAAGAATCAGAGCCTAAATAAAAGAATAACCATTTTCCCACCCTGGTTCTGTAGAAGAGTCATAGGACTTTCCTATGACTCTGGAAAAGTGGCAGTATGGGAGGGAGAAAGGACTAGATATGAAATAAAATCACAGCTAATAAGACATTTGACTCAAAGTAATGTTATAATCAACTGGTCGGACTCCACCTGTTGTTAGATGCTGACATGGAGCCTGGAGAAGGAAAGTGACTTGCCCAAGGTGACTCAGCCAGAGCTGGAATTAGAATTAGATTCTTGTGGCTTCTGGTTCACATAACATAAAACAAACTGCTTCACTCCCCAAAACAATGGGATTCTATCCAGGTAACTAAGAAAATAATTTCATTTATAACTACTGCCTCCACCTCCACCTCAAAAAACAATAACTTATTAATTTGATTTAAGGCAGTCTAGGGCTGTTTCCATCAAATTCTAATAAACCATTCACTCTAGCAATATAGACATGTCCATGGGAAGTAGTTGGGTATTATTCAGGCTTGCTAATGAATCACCCTGTGGAAAACAGATAATCAACAGTCTGCAGGAGGTCAGAAGCCTGTTCTTGTTCAAGTACAGATCTTGCCTATTAAAGAACATTGGGTATCAACTCTAAATAGTAAACAGGGTATACCATTTCAGATTCCATGAAGCGCAGCTTTAAATAGATTTGGTTTGGAAACGGGACAGGGAACACACCACAGTCAGTGGATCAACATTGAAAGAAGAGAAAAACAATGATTATACTCATTAAAGGGGTACCTGTTGACATATCTACTGTCAACTCCAATTATTTATTAAAACTGTTATTCTTTCTTCATTTCTGCCACTGATACTAATGATGACTACAAGATTATTTTAAATTTCTACAGCATGACCCCAGAATATTTACTCTTCCACCTTCCAAATGTTATTCGAGAAGTTTTTATCCTTCCCACCCCATCAGCCCCCACCTCCAAAATATAGAGGATGGATAGATAGATAGATAGATAGATAGATAGATAGAAACAGATGAAATACCTTTCCCGAGAACAATTTTTCATAACTTTTCAAGGCTCGCTTAAACTCCTCTTTGTAGTTTCAAGATGGGTTCCAGTGGGGAAGAGGGGCATAGTTAACCACTTTTCAAAGCTTATTCTATTCATATTTAACAATTATGGGGCCGGCCCCATGGCCGAGTGGTTAAGTTCTCGCGCTCTGCTTTGGTGACCCAGGGTTTTGCCAGCTCGGATCCTGGGCATGGACACGGCATTGCTCACCAGGCCATGCTGAGGCAGTGTCCCACACAGCACAACCAGAAGGACCTACAACTAGAATATACAACTATGTACTGGGGGACTTTGGGGAGAAGAAGAAGAAGAAAAAAAAAAGATTGGCAACAGCTGTTAGCTCAGGCGCCAATCTTACAAAAAAAAAGAAAAAGACAATCAGCATTTAGAGAAAAGTTAACAACTGCAGTTTCTAAATGAATAAGTTAGATCTCTGCCTAGCAGAGCTATCAAAAACTATGATACTACACATCTACAGTACATTCTCGTCTGATATATTTATCCACAAAAATACATGAAATATATGAGAAAGAAGTTCTTGCAGGGGCATTTTATGGACTAGAAAATGATGAGCAGGAGCCATTCCTGTATTTTTGGTCACTACTTTTTTGAATAATCCTATCTTTTGTAGGAATGAGAATAAAATCCAACAACACACAACTGGTTGCTATGTCTGATCCAGATATAGATGAGTTTCACAGTCTATACTTCACCCACCTTGTTTGCACATGACGTGTTCTTATTCCATGTGTATGGTGAATATGAGCTTTGAAAACCAAATTAATGGAAGACCATAATCTCTACTTAATTCTAAAATGCTAACTCCTACAAATATGGGGCAGTACCAACAAATTTCAATTCTTTCAGAGGTCTGTATAACTAAAGTCATGTTTATAGTTCAAGATCATGGAAATAACTTACCAAAGGAATTATGAAAATACTCAGTAAGAACAAATGTTTACAGTACTTTCAATGCTGACATCAAATCTTTCACAAAGTTGCTATTCTACAGGGCCTGTAGTCAAGACACCATATGGGCTACTTCACTACTCTTTGCTAAGTCTTCTAAAAGATGACACTGAGCACAGCAAAGCTAAGTGGGAAGTGCAAATATCAGCTGGTGAGCTATAGGAGAAAACTCACATTTTGCAAATTTTACAACTATCATACTTTAATTTTTTTTTATTTACCTCTGTTTTCTTGACAAACTCAAAAAGAATGCGTTCTTCTGCCAAAGATCTATCTCCTTCACACTGGTGCCCCAGGAGAGTAGCATGCAGATACAGTCCTGGGTTTCAAAAAAGTCTAACTCATTTTCCCTATTCTCAGGATTTTTTGTTGTTGTTCAGCCTTGGATTATGTCTTTTTGAGATTTTGGGGGGCAGCTAAGAGACAGTGATGGATGCAACTAGTAAAGTTTACCCCTTCAGAGCCAGGTAACACTGGCAGCATAGTGTGGTGAAAAATGCACTCAACCAAGGGCCAGAAAGCTGGAGAGAAAGCCCTCCTGCCACATACTAGCTGGAAATACAAGAAGGCAATGGACAAGAACATCCTAGTACATGCACATTATGGACTCTTAAAGACTCGTTAAATCTGAATCTTTTGTGTCACCCAGATTTTTGTGTTTTTGGTATCAAACATTAAGGGCTAAGAAGTGAAAGGGAAAATTAAACCAAGAAGACATAAAAGGAGGGCAGTTCTCTGTCTCAGCCATTTTTCAGGTTTTGGTGCTCATGAAATATCTTTGTATTTCTTCTGTTGGGAGTAAAAGCAAACAATCATTATTGGCTAAGACGGCTATTAGCATTTCATAAATATGAAGGTGTCAATCCTCTCTTACCTCAGATAGCTAGCTCTTAGAATGGTCAGTAGACACAAGGTTCAGCCAACTGCAGTGCAAGGTCTGTAAATGAAATAGGGAAAAGTTACCCTTAGGTACTAAGCTATATTTATTCAATCATCATCATAAACTCATGTCTATATAGCAGTTTCTTGTTTTGAAAAATATTTTCACATTCATTATCTCAATTCACCCCACAACAACCTGGTGGAGAAGCAGGAAGAGATTATTCTGCTCACTTCATAGGTGAGGAAACAGAAGCTGGCAGAGGGGCAGGGAGGACAGGACGGGAACTAACATCTCTCTCATGATTAACTTCACAAATACCGCATCATTGTCTTCATTTTACAGATGTGGAAAGTGAAGTTCAGAAAAGGCAGATAACTTGCCCAAGACTACACAGTACAGTACATGGCAGGGTGTGCGTCTGGACCCTCTGGGCTCTGCTGTTGGTCCACTGGTCTTTCCTTTATATCTCAGCCCCTCATAGGATATCAGGGTTAGGAAAATACAAAGACAAACAACTCACTGATCCACTAGGCTTAGTAGAGGAGGGAATAATAAAATAAAACCAGCTATTTGACTGATGTGAGGAAGTAGGAAAAACATATGGGATTTAGAGCCAGTCAGACTTGTCTTCCTCTTACCAATGGCCTTAGGCAAGTTACTTAAACTCTCTGACTGTCAATTTCCTTATGTGTAAATGAGGATTATAACACTTAGTTCCTAGCCAAAGCTCAGTTAAACTTTGGAAGATTTTCCTCCATTATTTCATATCCACAGATATGGACAGCAGTGGTATACAAAACAATACCATTTCTTTCTAAGCCACGTTTATATGATCAAAGAATGATGTTATAAGCATCAAGTATGGCTTTTCTTTTTATTGCCATCTCTTGGATTCATGCCCTTCGTTTTAAAATACCACAACATTTATGTAGGTCAATCTCATATGGCCTCACCTAAACAAACAACACAAAGAACTTTTGTTCCAAAAGACAAAGTCGCAAAATTTAAAACTCAAGTGTCCCCTCAACCCCCAAAAGCAAGAGATACTGCTTTGGGTGAAAGAACTGCAGGTGTGTCACATGCTACTTGAAAGTTTGTGCCCATATGGTGCCTTAGGATCCGAGAGATGGAGCTTCGAACGGAACTGCAAGAACAAGGGAATTAGTTTCAATACAATGGCTAGATTGATGAAGAAGTCTAAGAACTCCTGAAAGTTTTATTATAATACACCATTTTCACATAGGACTCAAATCCGATTAAGAAAAGAGCACAGTTCATAGGACACCCTACAAGAAATTCTTGTCACATGCCATCAAAATCAAATCATGAATCATCTCTTAACATTATATGTTATAGTTTGAAAACTATTTCATGACCATCATATTTTAAATTATACTCATTATAACCCCAATGAAACCTTATTACCCCAATTTTACCAATAATGAAACCAAACTTCCAAGATCACACAGTTAATATGGAGCAGATAAAAATTCAACCTTTTATCTGGATACCAAAATCAGTAAGGACCCTCGTACTCATATGCAGCCTCCCATTTGGGAGCACTCTATGTGGAGGGTAAGGGAAAATGAGCATAGATCATATAAAGTCAATTGTCAAGGCACCAAAGCACATTTAATATCAAGTCCCACTTCACTAGCAAGTGAAAAGAGAAAGAGAAGACTTCACATCTGTGGTCTAACCAGAAGGTGACACATTACTATGCTGAGGCAGAAGGAGTGCTCGATGCAGGTTTACCATCAACACTTTCTCAGCTCTCCCCAGTGAAGTTTCAGAGATGCAACATCCTTGGGCAAGCTATCGAAACACAAGCCACAGAAACAACAGAAGTCGGCACCGCTGAATTTTTGTGAAGGGGCCTTCATCAATAAGTCTCACGTTATGCAGGAGAAAAGCTGAAGCCTTCTAGCTAGGAAGTTCACAAGCCCTCTTCACATGGTTTGAGTGCCATGTGTCCTCAGTAATTCGTATTTCCTAATGGAATGGAGTTCTCCACTGGACCTATTAAGACATCTGGGACAACTGACAAATCCCACTCTAGCATCTTGGTAAGGATGCCAGGTATCCTTGGCTAACTCTGTGTGTTATGACTGCTGACCCAGAACCTGGCTGGTCTGCATCCTTTGTCAAACCACCCATCCTCTCCCAAGAAAAATGTTCTCATCTCCAGAAGCAATTTCAACCAAAAATAAAGAAACCTACATAATCAACCTCTAACTTATAAAACCTCAACCTATTAATTAGAATCTATGCAAAAGCAAGACTCACCAAACCTACTTGGGATTAGGACAGAATAATTGATAATTTCTACCGAATTTTGGGAAAAACAGGAGGGAACAAATAAAGTCAAGAAAAAAGAGGAGGGGGGAAGAAAAATGATAGGGAGTAAGGAAAAAAAGCAAAGAAAACTGGAAGGACATGAGAAATGAAGAGAGCAGAGAGACCTGTTTTGACAGGTTTTTCACAAACCATGGTATCTTTTGAATCAACGGCTGTACCCTAGGACAATTTTTTTTTCTTTTGAGGAAGATTAGCCCTGAGCTAACATCTGCCACCAGTACTCCTCTTTTTGCTGAGGAAGACTGGCCCTGGGCTAATATGCATGCTCATCTTCCTCTACTTTACATGTGGAATGCCTGCCACAGCATGGCTTGACAAGTGGTGTGTAGATCCACACGCAGGATCTGAACCAGAGAACCCTGGGCTGTCAAAGTGGAACATGTGAACTTAACCGCCATGCCACCGGGCCAGCATCCTGAGGACAATTTTTATGCAATCATCTAGATGATGATTCTAACATGATGAACAAAAATTCCAACTCACTGGCATCAGAAATGCTAGGACCAATGTAAAGATGTCTCTTAATACTTGATACTTTACAAGTGCAACAGTACAAATGGGCAATATAACTCCCACTAAGGCCATAAATGGGTAACTCTTTAGCCCTGTGATCCCAGATGTTCTTTCTGAACAGGGGGTGTTATCTTGAAAAGAACACCCACATGAGCACTGAGGACCTGGGTTCTGCTGTTAGCACTACAATTCCCAAATCTTTTGAATTAGAAGTTCTATGAAATATACACTTTTGTGTTTCTCTTTTCACAGGTCTTGAGGATGGTTGTCTCTAAACCACTGTGAAAAGGCTAGGAATTATTTTGTCTACACTTTGTGCCCTTTGGTAAGTTTTGTGTGGTGGTGGAAGTAGTGGTGAGAGGATTACCTTTCCTAAGATTTGTTTAAATTAAACAGTGTCATTATCTTAAACATGATTATTAGCAAGTCTGTTCCCAAAAGCAGTTGAAATGTTAGATTAGGGCAAAGGCATTAGATGACAAACATGGAATGTCCTCCACCACCATCATCAAATCCCGTAGGAAGAACATTTTTAAATGCACTCTCTCACCTGCCAAGCTAAGATACCTATCAAGAATACAACATATTCCATGGCTTATGAATGACTTGGTTGTCTCATTAAAGTAATATTTGCCAGTATTTAATTGCTTCCCTCCCTGATTTTAATTTCCTCACCTGTCAGCATTTATCAGAGGCACTGAGATCTTCTGACATCCTGGCTGATTGTGTTGAAATTAATCAGATTTTTAAAAAGTAAATTGCTTTGGCCTAAAGGTAACGCTCAACTTCTTCATGTGATATTTATAAGGTTTCTATCAATGGAACTTATAATCTTGAAATGAAATGAGAGGTTTTAGGAATCCTAAGTAGAAATATAAGTAGTTTGAAAATTTCCAGCACTGGACTTTTAAAAGATCAGGAATTCAAAAAAATGCAACTAACAAGTGCTTACTGAACATATAGCATTTGTGAGCAGTCATTTTGGGTAAACAGAAGAGTAAAATATGAAGCTACCTCAGAAGTTTGGAGAATCAGGTAAAAATTAATTAATTAAGCTGAACTCACCTTGACTAAAGTAGCTGACAATCTGGCCACTCAAAAGGTGCATTTTCTATTTATAATTGTGACCAGTTACATACATTATGCTTTCACACAGTTAATCATTTTACTCTTCACCTCAATCCAGTGAGGTGAAATTGGTGTTATTGTTAATAACAGTAGCAATATTCCCATTTGACAACTGACAAACTGGAGGCAAAGAGTGGTAAAGCGATTCTTCCCTAGACAACTGATTATGAGCAGACCTGGTCTTGTGATCTAAATAAAATCAGAAAATGCAGCATGATTGCTTTGGAATAAAGAGAGAAAAAATTCTTTGTAAATCCTCCATACATAATTATTCAGTGCTAATTCTTGTGCTAATATCTATCAGTAACAGTGCTTAAGACAGTCAGGAAATTCAGAAGCACTAAGCTGTTCTATAAGAAGTGAATGAAATGATGGATAGAGAAATACTTCATAACGTGTCCTACCATCATGAGATTATTTTTTTCATTTATGTAATCATTCCTACTTTGGAATATGGAAATATGTATTCATGCAGTAATTAGGTCCCAAAAGTGAGCCTATAATGATATCATCACGCCTATCTTTCAGTTATTCTGTTGGTTCTAAGGCCCTTAAATTGAACAGAAGAATGAAAAAGGCTGCATGCATGCAAATTGGGGGGCGGGGAAGTCAAGGGTAAAACATAGAATTTAGAGGTTGATTTTCACAAAAATGGCTTTATAACTAGACATAAAAAAACTCTAGTAGGGTCTTATCTTTCCAGTGGACTCTGAGCCCCTACTTAACCCTTAAGTGTCTCTCCTGATGTGAAGTTTTTCCTGACGTAGAAAGTTTGGTGAAACAGCCTTTCTGAAGACCACCATAATGCCGGGTTCCATATCTGGATCATTAAAATTACCACATCGTCGTATCACTTTTTTCGATTGTGTGCCTTGAAGAGAAAAATCTTGCCTAATTCAGTTTCTTGAATCTGAACCCCAAGTCAAGATTCTGGTCCTTGGTTGGTAGCTCAAGAAATATTTATTGAATGAATGCATGAACAAATGAAAAAAGCATCCTATGTAATTCCTGTAGCACCTAGCTCAATGTAAGGCATATGGGCTTAGTAAATGTTG